CCCGCACTTGAATCTGTTTTGATATAAAAAATTATATTTACTTAGAAAATTATTTATTTTATCTGGATTTTTAAATTTCGTTGACTGAAATTAAGTAGAATTACGTTTTATGATTCCTTTAATTATTTCTGTAAATATAATTCCCTCCCCCTTATTCTTTCTTACCTTGTGCATTTGTGCTTCCTATTTGATTACATCTGTCATGGGCTCATCTATTTTATATTTCCCAAAACTGGATTTTGTATTTACTTATTAGTTCTATTGTTTGCCTGCTTTTTAATTTACCATTTTCTGCATTTATCTGTTGGTTTGTTCTGCTCTCCTTTGATTTGTTTGTTTTGTTGCTCCTTTTCTAAATTCTTCAATACTCAGTGGATTTGTTATCATTCTGTTATTACTAGCTATTGAAGACTTTGCATTTGCTTTTGAGTGCTGCTCTACCAATCACACAGATTCTGACATACGGTATTTTAATTATATTTTTCTCAGATATTCTAAAATTTTCTCTGGAGTTTCTCTTTTCCCAATAGTTGGTTAAGAGAGAGTTTTTGAATTTCCACCTTGTCTTTTGGTTTTGTTATTATCTCCAAGTTTTAACACATTATGGTCAGTGACTGTACTATTTATAAAAACTTTGGAGCACAAAGAGGATTTTCTGGGACCATTCTATAGATTCTTGAAATGTAGAAATGTTCTGTTTCCTGAATACAGCATTCGATATCCATTTTTATTGTTTTATTCACTTGCTCAGTCATTGCCCAAGAGAAAGAAAGTCTTCTCTTATTAATGTAGTTCTGCCTTGGACTCCTTTAATTCCTGAAGTTTTGGATTTATGAATATTGCTGCCAAGTTACTTGCTTAATAGATGTTCATACTTATTACAGTCTTATTATGCACCTTTAATATTATAAATACCTGTCTGGCTTGTGTCCTGTTTATTGCTTTTGGTCCTGAATGATACCTTTTCTGATACTGAGATTGTGACCCCTGCTTTCTTTTTGTTTA